CCTCCACGACTATTCTCCATATAATATATATATATATATATATATATTTTTTTTTTTCACAAAAAGGCTGCGACATATAAACCTTGAACCTTAAGTCTATTTGTGATTGTGTGACAGTGCCAACTTACTGAGATATTGCTGCAAACCAAATATATAGGTGATATTTTCTTTTCTTTCCCATGGTATCAAGGATCACATCTGCACAGCACTCTACTGCATTAGTATTTACAGATTGCTCGTGTAAAGTTTGACAAAACCTCTTTATGCTTAATACTTTGATATTTTTACTGTGATTAGGGTCCTGTTATAGTTTGCTTGTGTTGTCTATTTGCTTTGGGTAGAGTTCTGTCTCAGTGTGGTGCTTAATATTACAGTTTGTTTATTATGTTAGGTTCAGTTCTTAATATAATACTGTGTTTTTGAGTATTTAACAAAACTTGGTTCTGTTTTAATATAGTACTTAATGTTACTATGCAATTTAGGGTCATTTCTCATTATAATATTCAATATAAATTTTTTTAGTATTCAGTGTCATGTCCTTTTATAATACTTCATAGTGTAATTTTTCTTAGATTAGTATCTTGTTCTTGAATTATGCTTAAAAGTACTGTATAGTTTGTTTGTGTGCCTTCTTGCTTCAGTACGACATATTACTCTATGTTTACATCTTTTAGGGCCCTGTTATAGTAGATCAACAGATGGAAGCTCCATTAATGATTCCTCGACTTCCTCTTCAGAATGGTGACATATTTCTGGGACAAGAAGAGGGGAAATACTCAATTTCATCTGAACAGACTTCATTTCATCTTCAAGAACAAGAACCTGCTGCTGGTAAAAGAACCAAGGTTGCCAAATGTGGTTACAAATCTAAAAAATCTCAAGCAAAAGCAACTAAAATCGTTATGGAAGCAGTTGCGAAAGCACATTCAGCTGGTAATACAGACATTCCAAAGGTATGCTTTAAGAATAAATTAACTTTTCTCTTTTCCATTGTTTTTTTTATAAATTTCTCTTTATTGATGATAACAAGTCTTTTTAACCATTGATTTATTGCTAAAGTCTTTGCAAAATTCCAGTCTTCAAACATTATGAGCTCTTTAATTTTTAAAGAAAAAAGATATGTTGCTAAAAAATGAAGACACATTTCATTAATAAATAATATCACTAGATTATACAAATCTGAATCAGTTTACAGTCAACAAACAGTTTGGACAGTATTTCTAGAAAAAGTTGAACAAATGCAAAGTAGTTAGAATGAATTAGTATGGTAATAAAAGTTTTATTAGTGTTTATTTATTCTTAAGGTATAAAATGTGTGATGCTCACATTCTCTGAATATTTAGAAATGTATACTTGTGTGTGTTCAATATTAGAAATATGATGTTTATTGTTATTAGCATCAGCATTGCAATATTTGAAATGATAATTTTTATTTATCCTCAAAAACGAACTTATAAATTGATGGTTATCTACTAGGATCTACTGGGGAGAGGGGGGGGGAATATTACATAGTGATTAAAGGTAAAACTTTGAGTAAGAATTTTTTTCACATTTATCAAGTAAATAATTTAAATAATAATATCTTTATGTAGAATTATAAACAGACTTTTGTTCTGAAGAGTAGTAGTCAACTATTCGAAAGCGCTCGAGGTTTTGGATCTTATTTTCTTTCTTTAATAACTGTATATTTTGTATGTGATTCTGTGTGCTAACTCTTTAACTAGAATAGTTATTGAAATTTAAGGTATTGACCATCATTAAGACTCAAGTTATTGCAATATTGTTTTTCAAATGGTTATTAACTCTTACAACCCGGGCTTGTAATTAGTAAGAGAATGTTAACGAAATTTGGCAGATTATCAGTAAACATTACAATGCTTTCATACACAAAATATCTAATTTTTCTATTAAGTCTTAACGTTTGTAAAGCAATGTTTCTCTCATGCCTTTTTTTTTCTTTTCACATCTTGCCTATCTATCAATTTTCTTTTTAAAGTTAAAAAATACTTTTATGCATAAAAAAAGTTTGAAATTTCACATGCAAAATCTTTTTAATGTCCGGATAGTTATCAAACATTTTTTAAGAAAAAACTTTATATTTTATCTGTTTTTTTCAGTAATTAATCTCTGTACAGATTTGGTAAATTTGACTGATCTCGCAACCACCATAAAAATTAGACAATAAACATAAATTATGCCACTTTCATTCTAGAATGAACACAAATTATACCACGAAAACATAAATGTTTAGACGAAATAGCTAAAATCTCATAACATTATACATTTATATGTATTTATTATTTCTATTATATTGACTTTTCACCCATGCCTGGTTGTATTTGGGTCTAAAAAAAAATTTGGAACAGACTAAAGACACAATGTACCTCATTGAAATCTTGATTCAAAAGAAAGAACTGGCAGAAGGAATGTTAGAAAGGCTGAGAAAGCCACTAGGGGGACATTCTGAGCTTTCGATTGGTTATTCATGCCATATATATAGGAGTAAGTGTATATAAAGAAGTGTTTCTAAAAATGGAAAGAGGTGAGCAGGGTGCTACTGTGTTTGATTTATTACGTGAGCAATATCTTAGCAAATAGAAAAGATTAGACGTTCTTATTTTATATTCTAGCTTGTCAATATCGGTGATTTGAGTTTCTAATTCGTACGAAACTATGGACTTAGAATTTTGATTTTACAAACATCTAATTTAAACCAGTGCTGTCTTCAGTATACCACATGACACGCAAAAATCAATGTTTATATGTGTTTTTTAATATTTACTTTGAAATTAAGAAATTGAATAATATATAATCCTAAAATTTGAATTATAATCTTTAGTTTGATACCAAAATTATTGACATAAATTCATGAAATAGTAGTTCAATAAAATTTTGAATGGGAGTCAATAAACGAGATGATATGGCCTTTCACCCATGACCCATCTTGAAAGGGTTAATACAGTTGTGTTTGAAAATTACTTTTTTTTTCCATAAATGCAATGATTTATAGATGTGAATTACTTACTGTTAGGATTGCACCTTTAGTCATTCCCTTAAAAGAACTAATTCAGTGTTTCACTTTAGTGATATGGCTAATTTGTCAGGGGTTAAAAGATTAATAGCAGAGGTGTAATGACCGGTGGTGCTGGGGTGTTTTAGCACTCCCACTTTTACATATTTGATTTATATAGCAAGTGTAAATTATGTTATTATATTAATTTTCTGGGAAGCATGCCCACAGACTTCCCTAGATTGAGATGCCTTTTAGCAGCTTTTTATATTTTCAATCTATCATTGTAAAATCTGCATGTCTAGCCAAGCACCCCCACTTTGCAACTCCTTCCTAAATAACTGCTTAATAGTGTTTAATAAGCAGTGAATTGATTTTATACTTATATTTTAAAACTATCTAATTTTATTATCTATACACACTCACATTAGTAAACAATTTACATACTTACTACCAGGCTAGCTCATTATTTATTCATTATTTCAAAAGGTCTAATTTTCATCAGTGAAGTACTAGGTAGAATGTCTAATTGATGAGGGTGGGGGAGTGGTGGAAAGATTGTATCAATCAGTCAGTTTTGTTGCTTAGAAATGTTTGTAACGTGGTTATAAAAAAATTGGGTTGCAACTTGACATTGTATGGGCCAAACATTTATTATTAAAATTTTCATACATCACTTTTAAGTTTCAGAATTTTATATATATTCATGTGTGTGTGTGTACACATGATGAGCTTAGATGCAAAATGTGTAAATCCAATTTTGCCTTTTTGAGAAAATCAACTTATTTGTGCAGCTTTTCCCAAAAAAAATGCTATGAAAATGAAAATGGCTATTTATTAAATAATTATTTTATGAAAACCTAAAATAATCTAACTTTACCGTTTATTTCAAATTTTATAAAAACTATCTGTATCCATTGTTTGTTTGTTTGTTTTTTACTCAAAATGCTGTATATCCATTAACTGTTTCCCTACTGCCTCAGGCCGGCATGGCCAGGTGGTTAGGGTGCTTGACTCGTAATCTGAGGGTTGCAGGTTCGAATTCCCATCCTACCAAACATGCTCGCCCTTTCAGCCATGGGGACATTCTAATGTGACAGTTAATCCCACTATTTGTTGGTAAAAGAGTAGCCCAAGAGTTGGTGGTGTGTCATGATGACTAGCTGTCTTTCACTGCTAAATTAGGGATGGCTAGTGCAGATAGCCATCGTGTAGATTTGCATGAAGTTCAAAAGAAAACAAACTCTACTGCCTTTGTGGATTACACTAATTATGTGACCCTAAAGTGACTTTTGGGTTTTCATTACCATAACTTTTAACATGTTTTGTGTACATTCACTAAATTTGTCAAGCTTTTAGTAAACATTACAAGCCTTTTGTAGACAAAAAAATAAGAATTTTATGTTAAGAGTGTTGACTGCTCAAAGTGCAAAGTGATTTCATGTTAAGATTAAAAATACTTTTTTCAGCAAAAAATTTTCCTATTTCATTTGCACAATATCTAAAACCTATTTAAATATCAAAGGTTTTTTCAGAAAAACTTTGTTTTATGTGTTATTTTCTCTACCGTAACTGTATACAGGGTTAGTCAGTTTTACTGACCTCATAACCATCATAAAACTTTAAAGGTTGAAAAATGCAAAATAAAGTGAGTAGTACTATTCTTTCTTCTTTAACCCTATAGCTTTTGAAGCCATTTTTAAATTCCTTTATGTGTATGGTGCTGTGTTATATTCAAAATTTAATTAAACTGCTTTACTATCAATATATGTCAATGAAATTAACATTGTAATGTATGTTATAATTTTAATTATTATGTTACCTAAGTTTTAATTCATTTTTTCAAAGGAAATTAAAAAATATATATGTAAGTTGCAGTTTTCCTTTCACATGATCCACACACTATGAAAAATTTCCACCTTAGCAGTAGATGAGTGTAAACACACAAGCTTGCCATAAATATCTAGATGCCAGTGCAGGTCTACATGGCCTTTTGACACGTAAGATACAAAGTCTCATAACTGTATTCACTGGGAAAGAGAAATAAATTTTCCAACTCTTGACAGGTGCCATGCCCACCTATATACTTTGCCTTGAGATCTAAAGTGTATATGTAGTTAGTTGACACAAGTGTATATATTCATTAGAATGAGCTCAGTTTACACTATACTGCACCAATGATTAATTTGAAATTGGTGAGCAGCTGCCATTAGTATTGTTGTCTGCTTGATCAACAATAACACGTACTATGCTTTCTCACCTAAATATGCTATAGTTAGATAAACAGTTAAATTGTATTTAGGTCTTATTTTTAGTTAATTGTGTATTATTTATGTTCTAAAAATCATATTTGAAAGGTTTAATGATTTTTAATAAGTTTAACTTGTTGTGCCTGGATTGTGAAAAGCGTTAGTGAAATGAGTCTCTGTACAGGAGACGCCGTACAATAATGATAAAACCCTACAGGCACCAGTTAATGTATCAGTATAAATAATAAAAGCTAAAGAATTGGAAAGAAAAATTAAAAACAAACTATAAGTTGAAAAATAAAAAGGTGAAATTATGAATATTAAAAAACAAGTTCCAAAAGACTTCTACGAAGAGCTGAATGTTATGTACATATTTCCATTTTTTAATTTTAAACATTGCATTGCACTCTACATTGATGATAATAGCTAGAGTTAGTGATATAGTAGAGAAAATTTTTAAAGTTACTCATCTAGCTAGGATAATTGAAAGCACTCATTCCATATATGCCCACTGTTGAGATGTGGTGTTCCACAAGAGGTATCCTTGTGGTATATTCTGATATCTTTCTACTGTCCAATCCAGACTGTACCTATTCCATGGACTAGCATGGAAAAAGACAGCACCAGGGGGGTGTTCTGCCTGCTTTCCTCATTCATGTTTATTGGCTTTTCAAAATAAGCTTTTCACCTATTGCACTATCTCCAGTAAAAGACCTTTCTGGCAGGCATCTGATGGGGATCCAGGTGATTTCTCTGGGTCTCTCCACTAGAAATTCCTACCTTCCTTTTTTTGAGTGGAGCAAAGGAGACCTCTGCTACTTATCAGTTCCTGGCTGCTGGGGTCATGGACCATGGAGAATCCTCATTGATTGGAACCTAATAGTTGGGAGCTGAATAAATGTTGCCAATTGGTGGGAAGTGGGGTGGTGGTAACACTGACAGTATAGTAACGGCCACCCCTCTTCTAATTATACTTATCACATGCCAGTGTACCCCATCTTACTGCTGCCCAGATATCAGTTCCCAGGTGGTCTTGTGTTTAATTGTCATAGGACCAGCCAACATAAGTCCTCACAGTTGTGGTTAGTAGGGGTCCTCTTCCTACTGTGGACTGGATGAAAAATTCCCAATGCCCCCTGGTTTTGGACTGGAGTTGACTCACAACATTTGCATTCTCACTTCCAACAGTTGCTTGGATGTCAGGTTTGTGGGTGGCCTTATGTTGGTTGTGTACTGTGTCTACACACGTGCTCTGTCTGAGTTGTCAGAACAGACGTTGCTTTTACCTTCTTCTTCCTGGTCTTGAAGTGAAGATGGTTGAGACTCTCCTCTTACTGTGGATGAGAAGACACATACCTGATGCTGCCTGGTCTTGGATTGGATTTGACCCACTGAATACCTGCAGTTATCTTCTGCTCAGTTGAGTTGAGCACTTTCTAATAAATTGTGTGTCCTCCTGTAGTGGATGACTGCTTTGTTGAATCAATGCACATACTAACATTATTCAGTTTATAGCTTGTATTCTGTGTACTTCCCCCACACCTGGTGTTAGTTCAAGAGTCTGATGGTAGAGTTGAGAAAACATGCACTAATAATTCCTGTGTCCTCTTCCTGCAGCTGATGTCAGTTCGAGAAGTCTGATAGTGGAGTTGAGGTGAGCACTTGGTATGGTCTGAATGCACTCCAACCACGCTATGTGTATAGGCTGTCTGACTTCTTAGGTTGAAAAAAAATTGGATGGCCATATTTTAATTCTACTCGTACCTGGGACACATGGGGCTTGCTTGCCTCTTTCTTCCTTCATTGCCTCATCATAGAATGATGATCATGAGTGCAAAAACATACAGGGAGCTAATGTGCTGGGAGGGCTTTTTCTGCATAATAACTTCATTATGGAGTAGCACAAATCTCAAAGGCAGATGCATGGGGAAGATAGCTTTTCATGTACAGAGGTGAGTATCTATTGGAAATACATTTTCAGGTAAGGAAAATGTTAACATTTGTTGGAGATGGTGTGAACTTATCCCAAATTTTTAGCTTTTGCCTTACAAGTCAATTTGTAACATAAGAAAGCCTGAATAATAGCATAACCAATGAAGATTAACTTTAACAATACAGGCATGTGAAATGAATCTGGAAAATGTACTCAAAGGAATTGCAAAAATGTGATTTATGGCTTTTAGTATATACCAAAAGTAATTTAGTTTCATAATAAATAAGTTACTGACCGTGTATTGAGCAAATACCACATTTATTGTTATGATGTAAATGCCAAAATCTGATGAAGCAATGGAGCCAGTAACCATAATATTTGTGGTAGAAATTATACTCGATACTCAGACTGCATTTTTTTTTCTATGTTTTTAAGTGCATTACAGATTGAAAATCTAACATGAATAAAAACAGCATTTTAGTCTCTCACAAGTCATTGTGAAGTTTTCTGTGTTAAAAATGCTCTTTCTCTACACCTCTGAATTTATACTTTGTATTGGACTAATTAAAAAATAAACTTGCAGTGTGGTGTGATTATCCTCATTAATATTAAACATTTTTTGGTTCCATTTCTTCAATAATTTTCAGTATTAAACACCGTTATGTTAACTTTTTTGCACTGCCATGAAATAAAATTTTAGATCAGTTTTCACTTGCCATCTGTTCTGATACTAAATGAAGGACTATCTGGACAGTGAATTTTTTGATTTGAAATGATGTTTAATATACTTTTGATTTGAAACTTATAAGGAAATAATTAAGAAGAATGTGAAAAAAAAAGATTTAGTGTGATTTTTTAAAACTTTTAGCTTGTTGTACATATCTATTTTTAATTCATTTTTGTAACTTCATGAGCATATCCAAGATCAGAAGAAACTTTTGGTGGTTTTGACATGTGTGGGAATTACTGGGTGCCATACTTTTATCATATTATCCTTTGTTCTTTTAGTAATCTGTAAATAGACAAACAGTATCAAGTATATTTTTAAAATATTGCAATTTTTGCTGATATATTATTCTGGTTTATATATAAGAAAATAAAAGTTTTGACTTAAAACAAGTGTTGAGATTGTTTAATGCTCAAGTTAAATGAATTTTGAATGTGTAGTGTGTAGTATTTATTTCACAGTTGTTTTAATTAGTTGAGTTTTTTATATTACAATGGTTCAAATAAAAACATGACTTGGTATTTTTAGTTTTAAAACATTGGCATATAAAAGTATAGTTTTAGTCATTAAATCTTTGAACATCTACCTCTTTATATGCATTTTAGCAGATATTGCACTTAGTATTTCATTTATTACTAGGTTTATTTAAAGCTTTTTTATTGAAATTTTTACATGGAAATTTCGTAATTAACTGAAGTTCTTGAAATTTTGTCTGTATTTGCAGTTTTGTAGGCCAATCTCTGGTAACTATATCAAATGCTAGAAATTTATATATTTGATTTTAACTTTACACAAACAAATGTTTTACAACACACATTTTTGTTTATGGCTTTCCTTCTGAGTTGGATGTATGAGATAATGAAAAAAAAATGAATGAATACTTTGTTTGCTGTTAATAAATTTATGTTTTGGGGTTAGGTTTTATCCATCACTGAAATGGCAGCTACAGGTTTGGAAAATGAAAACTGTGATCGTAATAAACCTAAAAAGTCCAAAAAGAGGAAAACTAAAGAAAAGGAAAGTAAGGATGGTGAAGAACCAAAAGAGCCAAAACCCAAAAAACCAAAGAAATCAAAATCTCCAAAAGAAAAACCACCAAAACCACCTAAGCCTCCAAAACAGCCTAAACTGAAGAAAGAATCAAAGAAGTCAAAAGCTAAAAAAGAAATACAGGTAGAGGAACTAAAAGAAGTTACACCTGAAGAAGAAAATCAAGAGGGATCAGCTGAGAAGAAAGAAGTGAAACCAAAAGCAGTTCAGTCCAAAGAAAATAATAAATCGTTACCCAAGAAAAAACTACCAAAGTAAGTTTTGTAATAATTATATTAAAATATATAGAATATGCAGGTTCCAGTATTCAACATGTATCAGTTTACTAAGACCATTGTTCCACCCATTATACGGCATAATTATTAGAGCTAGGCAATTAGTGGAAGTGAATGTGCTAATTGAATAATGCAGGATTATTAATGATTATGTTTAATTTATTGATTATCTAAGCATTGGTCCGATTTGTTCTCGCTTGCTCCATTATTTTATACCCTACTTAATTGATTTTGGCGATATTTGTCACGTGACACTCTCCACCTTCGTGAATGCACCCTATATTCTGGTACTGTATATAAGCACCTCATTCAGCTAATGTTATCATTTTTTCTTCACAAAGTGTTCACTAATGGGTTTCTCTGTACTACGATTGTTGGAGATATATTGAGCATTCGTCATATTACCTAGTTGATATTTGTTAAAAAAAGAAGAAAAAAAAGAATTCATTTGGTATGAATTCCTGAATTATATTTGTCACAAAGGCAACTCAGGTCTCTCTTATCCCACATCTGATATCTAGCATTGCTCAGTGACCTTATTCCTAGTGCGATGGAGACATAACTTTGTTCAGGTGGTGTTTCTCTGGGTGCTCTGAGGCTGCAATTGAAGGCAATCCTGGACATTCTGGAGAGAATTTAGATTTGCTTTTTCCGGTGCCTACCTTTATTCTTTTGGCTTTTCAGTAGGCCACCTTGGGATAAGCTGCCTCAGGCTCCTTTATTACACTTTATGATATTTTGGGTCTTTTTCCAGTTTCTTTTGAGCCTGCACATTACTTGATGGCTGAAAGGTTTGGGAGCAAATACTTAGTTTTCCCTCCATCCACTGACATTATGGTTCATGCATAGAGGTTTACTGCTCAATTATCTGAAGGGATAGCTATGCTTTGTCCACCACAATTGTTGGAACTATGTGATTTAGTTTACCACTGCCAGGTAGAAGCATAGTCTGACTTTCAAAGAATACATCTGCTCCTAGAAATTTGGGTTATAAAGCAGAATCTGTAGTGAACCTCATCAGATCACAACTTTCTAGGATTTATCTCCCCATATTTTCAGTGCTGAGTTATTTATTATCCCTCTAAACTTTGTTTGAAGACTCTCAAGATCACCATGTCAATTTGATGACAAGCTGGGACTACTGTCAGCTTCTACAGTGGTTCAATTGTCAGCTTCTACATTCATCCCTGTTGTCATTGATGTATCGACTTTCCTCAGTTCCCACATTCTTATCACCCTGTCCCCCAGATGTGTTTTTTCTTTTGTACATTAGGATCTTCCGAGTTTTTGTTTTCCTTTTAGCATTGTGTCTGCTCCTTATATCTTCAATGAAGCCATGGGAGCATTGGCTCACTATGCTCATGGATTGGGTTTGAGGTTCCATTATTACATGGATGATTGGATTTTCCTTGCTCATTCTTGGAATAAGGCTTTATCTCACACCTGCATAATTCTGTGGGAGGCTACTTGGCTGGGCTGGATTGTCAAGCTTTCCAAGTCTTTTTCTCATGCTCCATCAAGTATTTGGTACATCTGAGTGCATTCTTCAACTACACCACCTCAATTGGGCTTATCCTTCACCACTTTGCCTACAGACAATGGAATGTCTTGTCACTAAGATTCATGTTTCTTGTTTATGCTTTCTATATGAGGTTCTTTCACTTTTGGGAACTCTAACTTCCCTGAAACCACTCATTTCTTTCAGCCACACACATGTGCCTCCTTCATTGGACATTCAAGGACCAGTGGAACTTTTCTCAAGATCTGTTGTCATCATTTATGTTCCTCTTCTTGAGGACTTATCTTGATGTCTTGACCAAGCCAGTACTTTGATGGGCATCCCATTGCCACCCTGACTGGATCTCCATCTCTTCACAGATGCTTCTCTGTTCATGCATCTGAACTCCAAAGAAGTGTTCATTTCACATCAGTGTACTCAAACATCTTGGTTTATCATGATCCCCTCCAACAATTCTATGGTTGTTTCTTGTATCAACTGTCAGGGGATATTCTTTTCAGAACTCTTTGCTACTATACTTTAGACCTACTGTTTTGCACTCATTCCCATCAGGTTTGTTTCATGGCTTTTAATGTGCTGGAATTTTTGAACTTGGTGGCAGATTGCTTCTCTCAGCCAAACAGGATTGTACCTACGGAGTGTTCTATCCTCCCTCAGATTTTTTTGATGGATTTACTCTAGGTTGGGCACACCTCTCATCAATGCCTTTTTCACTCCTCTGAATAACAAACTTTGCTTTTATGGTCCCCATTTCCTTATCCTTCAGCCTCGGCAGTCACTTCTGTCAGCCAGGACTAGTGTTCCATTTTTCTGCATGCATACTCTCCTCTTTGTCTTCTCCATCGTGTCCTTGCTGTGATATGCAACACTCCTTGGTGGTGCCTCTTTGGCCAGCACAACCCTATTTTTTTCTGCTTTGTCAATTGGCATCCATTTCTCCTCCTTGTTCAAGCTTTCTCTTATTCCAGTCACACACATCTTTCTTTCACCCTATCAACAGAAGTGAAGGGATTATTGTTACTGGTTCATCTGCCACTCCCTTCCTCTGGGCTGTCCAACTGTGGCCTACCTTTCAGCCTTTCATTTTCACTTTCTCCATTACCATTAGGATTTTTCTTCACCTTTTCTACTCCACATTGTTCAGATTCTTCATTTTACATCAAACCACACCCCCCCACCCCCCCACTGTACTAATCCCATGCTTGATTAGAACTTCAGTGAGGATTTATATGCTCTTATATGTGCTCTGTTCCAGCCATTGACATTATGTTTTTTTGTACTATCTTTTTCAGAAAATATATTTTCTTCTTTTTCTTGCTTGTTGCTTTTCCTCCTATACTTTCTTTTGCCATACTTACTTCACTACCTTGGTCAGGCCTTTTTTTTAATATGTTGGCTGCTTAGGAAGGAGATTGTTCTTTCTTTCCTGTCTCCCTCCTTTTGTTTTCTCACCTTTATGCTCATTTGGATCAGGATTGCCTTTTGTGTTTGGGCTGTTTGGTGTTACTTGGCACATACATTTCCCCTTTTGGGGTTCTCATCATCATATGTTTCTATCTTGGGATACATCTTCTTTCAGGGACCTCTTTCCTTTTATCCTTAAAGGATAGGACCACCAACTCCTTCAGTTGGGATATTCTTCCCTGGATATTGATGCTCCCAGTCTCTTTCACATTTTTTTGAATCAGGTTCATCATGTCTTACTTTTGTTGTCCCTTGGACAGGATCCTTCAGGCTGGCATATGGATGATTCACCACATAATTGTCTTCCATTATCTTCCTTATCTAGCTGTTTCCTCTCCTGTAGGATTTGAACTCCCTCCAGTTGCTGTTTTTCAATCTACACACCATGTTTGAGAAGGTTAAGTACATTTTCATCTTTCTAGCCCTCTTCCCTTTTATAAAATCCTACCAAGGAGCTGGTGTAGCCTCCCAGAGGTGCACATCTTTACTAAAATCCCTGTGGACCAGGGGTAACTGAAAGTGCTCAAACTTTCTGTCTTGGCTCTAGCAGTGCCCATTCTAGAGATGGGATGTTCCACAAGACCACTAGAGGTATCCTCCTGGTATTAAATTTACTAAATTGCCCAATCAGTACTCCCCTTCTTCAAGTAGAACACAGGAGACTCTTGCTACTTCTCAGTTCCTAGCTGTTGAGGTGGTGGACCTTGGAGAGTTCCTCACTGATTTCATACAGCACATTATGATGGGAAATAAGATGGTGAGGGCACTCATCCCTCAAACAACTTGTATGCCCCTTTTCCTGCAGCAAGACAAGTTCACCACCCTTATGACACTTTGGACTGATGATCAATTCCAGATGCTCCCAGGTTTTGGTAGAAACACTCTGCCATATCATAAATATATAAATATGTGTATATTTGCTTCTCAGGTTGAGACATTCCTCCTTCCCACCATCCTCCAGATGTACATTTCCAGTGAGTCCTGTTTTGTTTGGAGATGGTCCAGCTCAGTAAGTCCTCACATGTGTGCTGGCCAGTTTCCCTTCTCTTACCATAGACTGGATGACAAGTTCCCATTGCCGCTAGGTTTTGGACTGGAGGTGCACTCAGCTTTGTGGTCCCTCTTCCTAACATTGGTTGGATGTCAGTTCCCGGCAGATCTAGTGTTGGTTGTAGCTGGATGCAGCACATGTTTTCCTACTTGCATACGGCTGGATATTCCTCATCCTACCATGGATTAGAAGTACTATACCCATTGCCATCAAGTTTTAGACTGAAGATATCATCCCACTGTGGCTTTTCACCTTCCTATTGTCTGTTGGATGTCGGTTCTCAGCGTTGGTTAGGTTAGGTTTGAAATGTGTGCAATAGGTGAAGGATTTGGGTACAAAATCTTGTTTTCTCTACCATTTCCTTTTTCTATGTGAAGAGGTAGGTGTTCCTCTACCTACTGTGGATCTGATGTACCATTTCAGATACTTCCTAGTATTGGTTGAGATTGAACTACCACTACAGTCTGTCTCATCCTAGCCACTTGACACTCAGGAGTCCCATTTATTAGTCATACACCTTCTGGGATTCCTTCATATTTCTGCCTGTTATGCTCAAGACATTGCCATAAAAGAGCTAAGAGTATACCTGGATAAGATGTGGTGGTCTCCTGCTGAGTTGTGATGTTTTCTCTTTTGATTCCACTCCTCCTAGTCTCTCTTTGGGTGCTTTCTAAAGGGAAATAATATTTTTTATTGGACCTCTACCAGTTCACTGTGGGATTTTAGTTTTTTTGTGAGTGAAGGTAAGATATTGTATTTCCGATAGATACTTTTCTCCTCTCACATTTCCCACCCAGCCTCGCCACTTCTGTTGATATATGGTGTAGGTCTTTTCACCAATCTCAAAGTGATTAATGAGTGCAAATGTGAAGAGGGCACTGGTTACAATAGCAATGGTGTTGTCCTATTGATGAAGAGCCACTGCTTCATCATTTGCATATGAATATGCAGAAGCGGAAGGTGGAAGGCTAGTGGCATGCGTTTAAAATTTGTGCCGATAGAAGGCAGTGCTAGTTGATAAAAGCTATTTTGTGAGAGGAGGTATCTATTGGAAATACATTTTCAGTGTAGGAAAATGCTAACCTTCCTTACCTGAACATATGTTTCTGATAGATACCTCTGCACACCTTCCCACCTGTCCTTCCCATTTTGATGCACTTTCTTATAGTCTAGTCCAAGAATGAAGTTAATTTGAGCACAATTGTTTAGGGGGAGCTACTGTGCAAGGAGGTTGTGTTGAAATCCTATTGGTGTAGGGCTTACATTCAACTCAGTATGCACCTCTTGTATCCAAAAGCTTTCTTTAGTGCAGAGCATTTTTTGCCTTGGCCACATTTCTCAAGTTGCCGAAATCATTGGGTGTAATTCTAATGTCAAAGTCTTTCAAACAGTGACAAACTGATTATATATAATGTACTTTGTGCATGTTATTTGCATCATCTTTGCTGGTGTAGGCCTATCATTGAATGATGATAACATCATGCAGCACAAGTATAATTCACGTTAACACTTGTTTTTTTTATATGAGAGATAGTTCAAGGCTAGTAGCATAAAATCTCATAAGCATCTTGAAGGAATCAAGCTACTCCGTGTGAAGAGGTATCGGAACTACATTTTGTTAGTAACAAAGTATAACACATTAATTTTTTGATGTTAATAATAATGTTAGTTATTTTTCACAAGATAGAAATGAGTTTGTCTCATTATCTTATCTCTGATGGAGTTTTATTGTTGATTTTTTTTGGTATTGATGACTTTTTGGATGTTATTTTCTGCAATAAATTAAAAATGCAAAAGTTCTGGTAATAGTAGTTCTAAAAGTAACGAGATTGATTTATAAAAGAATTCTAAAAGATTTTCTATAGAAGGATTTTGTTTAAAATTTTGTTATTAAATCTTTTGCTTATACAATATATTTTCTCTTTTTTACACTTGATCTATTAAGTTTTTACTAAAATAAGTTGTTAGTTTATGTTTTTATATCACTTCAACTACAAAGATTTTGATTACTTTGCACCATTTCGTGTGCTTAATATTAAATGTGGGTCTTCAGAAACGTTAAGACAGTCAAGTCTTAT